TAGTAATCATTCTAATTTCTTGTATTTCATACCTGAACTTTTTTTTTGGATGTATTTTTACTCTTCTATATTATATCTCTTTCAGATATTTTATGGTAGTTGTTGGCAAATTTTGTATAACTGTATTAGAGACTGTTCATGCTTACGTGAATTGTCATCGCAGGATTGATCTGTAACTTTTATGAGCATATTTTACTACTATCGTCTTATTAAATTGAATATGAATAGCGATTACAATATTTTTGTTTGTCAGTATACTAATATGTCCTCAAGGAATGGAAATAAAATGTTTGATACGATTTTAAAATATCTATTGAATTCTCTTAAATTCTGGTAATAAACTTCCCATTTAATGATTCATAATTAAACATGAAACTCATAAAGTGCAGGAAGGTAATTCATAACTATAAATATGAAAAACTATTAATTTTTTATTATACTAGTTTATTCTTATTGGTAAAGTAGTATAAGTTTTCTACAAAGCAGTACTTTTTACATGACTGAATAATTAAAACATTTTAATTCATTTTTATCTTTAAAATATCTTGATTATTAAATGACTTTTTATCATTTACATACAAATACATAACGTGTGTGTGTGTGTGTGTGTGTGTGTGTGTGTGTGTGTATATATATATCCATTTATATTTATATTTGTTTAAATGGTAGATTATGAATGTAAATATGTTTGACAGGTATCCTGGCACCAGAAACCAATTCTTTTTCCTGAATGACAATGAAGAAAACTTATGTCAGACTGAAAAAACTAATCTTTGTTTAGGTTCTGTCATGTATAAAACTATGCCAGGCAGTTTCATCTTCATTTTGAACAATTCTACAGTTCAGTTGAAGTTTCTCTAAAATTATTTGGTTTTTCATTTTTACGAAATAGAATATTTAGGGAAACTTTCAATATGTATTTCACTGATTCTCACTATTTTGTTTAAGTCATTTTGATATCATCAAAACTTTTTCAAAAGTTCTATAGTTAAAAATACATGTATAGATATGTACATGTACATACATAAATAATTTCTTACATGATTACATTTGCATGGTTGAATGGCTTCTCCTGAAAATCTCTTTAATGTTAAGCATACTTGGGGAGGCTAGGTGCAGTGGCTCACACCTGTAATCCCAGAACTTTGGGAGGTCAAGGCGGGTGGATCAGGAAGTCAAGAGGTCAAGACCATCCTGGCCAACATGGTGAAACCCCGTCTCTACTAAAAATACAAAAAAAATTAGCTGGGTGTGATGGCGCATGCCTGTAGTCCCAGCTACTCGGGAGGCTGAGGCAGGAGAATTGCTTGAACCCAAGAGGCGGAGGTTGCAGTGAGCCGAGGTCACGCCACTGCACTCCAGCCTGGCTCCCGGTGACAGAGCGAGAGCGAGACTCTGTCTCAAAAAAAAAAAAAAAAAAAAAAAAAAAAAAAAAAAAAAAAAAAAAAACAACACCTTGGGGAATAGAAAAGGGAAAACGTCTGCTTTAAAGAGTGTTCTGCTTCTGGAAGTAGAGACAAAATTTTCTGAGTATACAGGGGATCTGACATTTCCTGGTTCTGGATGATAAATCAATTTTGTATTTATTGAACATATACTTTATTCCCAGGTTGCACACTTCTCATCTGTAACAGAGGCCCTGAGCAGTTGTGTGCATGGGCATAAATTGTGCATTTCACAGACCAGGTGACCAAAATGTGGGTCAAGTCAGCGGTTTTGGTGATGAGGCAGGTGGGGTTCTCCCCTATGTCAGAGGCAGTGCTATCTGCTCTTATGTGCTCTTTGAGTTACCGTGCTTCTATACTCCACAAGCCCTCATACTGGAGCATTGCTTACAACCCACCTGCTACTCCACCTGGAAGGTAATTTTCTCCCACTTATTTTCAGGGAACATATTGTTCTTAAAACAAAGTGTAAACGTGAATTCAAGAATATTCAGAATTTTGAAAGTATCTTTCTTGTGCTGCTCTATTTTCTTAATACTATGCCAAGTTTACTCATAAGCATGAAGATCAAGGATATTGTACCAAGTACCAACTCAGACGGGAGACCGCACTGAAGGCAATTAGAGGGAGACACTAGATAGAACAGCAAAGTGGATCTATCTGGAGGACCCGCAACCTACTGAGCTGAGAGCCTCAGGGGCTGACAGCTTTCCAGGCTGAAGGCCCCAAGCAGATTCTGATCCACATATTTATTCTCTCTTAAACAGGTCATTCTTATTAATAAACAAGTGTTCCATATTTACCCATAACTCAAAAATATACCAACTAGGTAGCTGTTACCCACCCACCACTAATTACAAACTAAAAGGTGTTCTCCATAAGGGAGCCATGGGCGCAGGGTAAACTTAATATTCTTCAACAGCTAACTTAATGTTTGTCAACAATATTGCATTATCAGGGATAGTTCCCATTTCAATTTTTCTGTCTTGAACAAAATCATTGAAATAATTTCTCTGTTCGAGAATCTTATTTTCCCACCCCCACTCATTGTCAACAGAAATTTCTCTCCAAAGATACAAAATCTACTGTTCTTCAATTAATTGGGGCTTAAAATGCAAAATAAGCTGAATTAATATAGCTTATATCAACATTATTGACGGTCTACTGAGTTCCCAGCACTGAGGTAAGCTGGATAAAAATTTAAGTAAATGAAATTAACCTGGCTAAAGACCTCCTATCTTCACAGCACTGAATTAGACTTGATACAGAAGTAATATGTTCTTCACTCTGAATGATAAAGCAATGAGATCATAACATATCCTCAAAAATATGGATCAGGATATCACAACAGATAAGACACAGAGATGAATAAATATCAGAAGCCAATTGGACATGTAAGGAAAGCAGATGACTTACAGGATTCTCGCTTGCAGGATTAGGTAGATTTCGCCGCCCATTAATCCCTACAGAGTATGTGGTGAGAAGTGCTGGTGAGGCTGAGTCAGTGAAGCATTGCTGAGAGAGGAAATGCCGATCAAGAACTCTATCACGTTGATGCTGGTGCTAGAGAAAATTATAAATTAATAAATTTTGTGCTGTGACCCTGATGCCATCTTTTCAAACTAAGTCATCACTGTGTAATTTAAGTCTTTGTCACTTTTCAACTGAGTTAAGTGGCCTTCTGTTCTCCAGGCCCTAGAATACAACCAATGTGATTATTCCAAAATGAAAGATAATCACTCTTCTTTCTTCTTTACCATTTTTCTCTGGTTCCCTATTGCTTATGGTTCCTACAAGCATAATTCCTATTCCCTATTGCTTTCTCTGGTTCCTACAAGCATAATTCCTATTCCCTATTGCTTTCTCTGGTTCCTACAAGCATAACCTTTTACCTTGGTATACCAGACCCTGTATGATATGACTATGGCTTGTTCTCCCATGTCTGATCCTATAGTTGCCCATTCCGGCCCTATACTCTGGTCTTACGGAAATGCTAATGTTGATTTTACTTAGGATATCTTTCTGTTTTATAATTTTGTGTTTTTCTTATGCCATTCCTTCCACTTCTTCTGCATAGGATGCTGTCCTGCCTTCATGTGTTTTAGCTTTTTGCTTTTTCTAAACTTTTGTAACTTGTAGTTCCCATCATCTTTCTAGATGCTGTGTAAATATTCTCCATTTTAGACCGTTTTCTGACCTTTCCCAGTAGCAATCTATCATCTGTTATAACTAGACCTTACATCTCTACTGTAATGATTAGAATAATGTATTTCAGTTATTTACATGTTTTCTCTCTTATTAGAGCATGGGGTTTCAGCTGGTTTGGGTGGGAAATAAGCCAATGATGCAGTAATTCATAGCTTCCTAACGAAATGCATCTATGTGTATCTATCAATGAATAAAGGTGACTGTCTTAGACTTTCGCAAATGAAATTTCGCTTTCTCAGCAATTTGACGAAGTTACAGGGCACCATCTTCTTGTGCATTCCACCCTTGTGACAAGATGATATTCTCGATGTCAAACATATATAACAGAAGAGAGAACAGCGTAATGAATTCTATTACCCAGTTTCAACAATTATTGGCGAATTGTCAACTGTATTGCCCCATACTATCTACTGCTCTATTCTCCTATCTTCCCTCCAAACATTTGAAGCAAATTCCAGACACAATAACATTTCATTTGCAAATATTACAGTATGTATTAATATTTCTAAATGATAAGGGCACTTTTAGAAAACATTGATGATACCATTATCACATCTAAAATATTTTCAATTTCCTAATATCACCCAATAATCTCTATTCAGTTTTGTATTACGTCTCATATTTTAAACTGTTTAAATACAGGTCTAGTAACGTCTATGCTTTGTGATTGGTTGATATTTTTGTGGACAATTTTGCTCTGTTTTTGATATTTTGTCAATATTTAGAAACATTTTTGGTTTTTACACTAAAGGAGGAATGCTACTGATATTTAGTGTGTGGAGGACAGGGATGCTGCAAAACATCCTACAATACACAAGGTGGCCACCACAATAGAGAATTATCTAGCCAGAACAGTAAGAGGGCAAGGTTGAGAAGCTTTGGTCTATATAGGTTCCTCCTGAATTATATATTGCATTGTAATTTACTTGTTGAATAAACCGGGTCTTTTGTCTTATAAAGTTTTCCACATCTATATTTTGCTAATTATACATTGTGGTATAATTAACACATTTTTTATGTTTCCTGTATTTGTTAGCAATTAAATCTAGAAGCATCATCAGATTCAGATATAATTTTCTTTTTCTATCAAAACTGCTTTTTTTTTTCTGTTTCATAGTGTTGTGTATTTCCATCAGGAGGCACATAATATCTGATCATCTCTCTCTTTCCATCAATATGGGAAACTTGGTGATCAGTGTCCAAATTCATTAATTTATTAGGAGTTGAAAAATAGTGATATTATATTTTTATAATTTATTCATTTATTGAAAACAGCATTCATTCCAGCCTTTGATAGAAAAATAGCATTGTGCATGAACCATTTATACATTTTGTATTTCTTTTCAGAAACATCCTGTACCACCTTGATGAACAGACAAGCCAGTTTTCAATACTCATGGAGGCTTTGGAATGCTGCAAACCCCTTGCGCCAGATGAGACCCTTCAAGAAGCCCGGTCAGAGGTGTTGAACAGCATTAATTCAGCTCAGGTTTACTTCAAAGCGGGACGTGATGTGTTCAAGAGCATCTTGGATGGGAAGAATTGAGAAAACTCTGAGAATTTTTAAAAGTTTGTTTACAATTTCACAAGCAAAAGCTGTAATTTAACCAGATTTTCTGACATTGAAGGCTTATTTTCCCCAATGGCTTTTTGACAAGTTTAAAGCTATTATTACATTGTATTTTTTAAATGTACACATAAAAAGAACATTTTGCACATTTAATATTTTTCTTGTATCTACATTTCTAAATATGTAAAGCAAGTAATTGAAATGGTACTTAAGAATTACCCATTAAAAATAAATCATATATATACATATATATATATATATATATGAACTATTTTGATGATGAAGTTCCAAGAAGTTCTGGACTATCTTTGTTCCTATCAGCAGAGCATATAAGGACACAGTTTATTCCCTCTGATAGAGCTATTAATGACCTAGTTTCTGTATAAGAAATGGAGATTGATATGGTTTCAGAATAATTTCACTATTAAGTGTTCAATATGAAGAATTCAAGTATTCTGACTGAGTGATTGGTTGACCTAAACCACTTTGAATGTTTCTATTTTATGAAATGAAGTTTCTCTTCTTAACACAACTAGATGTAGTAATACACTGGTTATGAAATTGTATTTTTTTAAGTATGAATGAAAAAAGAGCCATAAGCATTCCAGGGAAAAATCTCAAGGTACGCAGAGCAATTTAAATGCAAATTTTTTTCCCAACAGCTTAAAAGGTGACTAGCTTTGAAACCCCTAATTTGCCTCAGTTGGTTTTCTAAGAATTTCAGGAGTGATGTATGTCTTATAAGGGAGAAAAATATTTCTTATTACCTTTTCTCGTTTCTGTTGGAAACACTGAAACAGGGACTCCTTTAAAATGAAAACATCTCACATTGGTTTTCTTTCTTGAATCTTTCCTGAAACTCCTTGCTGTAAGGCAGCTTTCACAGAGTACTACATATTTTCCACAGTAAAGTAGCAGTTTCTCTTTGAAACCCAAAATATCTTCTAAAGCATCAAATTTCTATTTCTGCCTCTGACAAAAAGAACTTACTATAAAAGAAATAGTTGTTTTTATCAATAAAAGCTCTTTAATTCTATGAATAAACTTTTGATAGTTTTTCTTCCTTATCCTTAATTGTGACTAAGATGGAAACGTAGAAAACATTCATGCTGCTAAGTTTATACAGTGTTACTGTAAGAGTGTCCCTTCTATACTTCAGTTCTTCTCTCATGTGGAAAACTAAGCTTTCTATATTGACATTGTCATTGCATAGATCTGGCAACTACTATTCCCCAAAACCCTAAAATTCTATTAGGTGACAGGTTAAAGTTCTAGTTTATCTTTAGAAATTTATTTGAACAATGATTTTTTTTTTAATTTTGGATAAAACCATTCTCCTTAGGAAACATGGCTTCAGAATATTTCATATGAATTTTCTCTATCTAATTCAAACATACTTCTTCATCATACACCGCCAGAGCAATGCTGGAGACAGTCTGTGTATGTTTAAGTTTTCATTTTTTTGCGGGGGGTGGGGAGGATGGAGTCTTGCTCTTGTCACCCAGGCTGTAATGCAATGACACAAACTTGGCTCACTGTAACCTCCACCTCCTGGGTTCAGGTGATTCTCCTGCCTCAGCCTCTTGAGTAGGTGGGATTACAGGTGCCCGCCACCACGCCTGGCTAATTTTTGTACTTTTATTAGAGACAGGGTTTTGCCATGTTGGCCAAGATGGTCTCAAACTCATGTCTTCGTGGTCCGTTCGCCTCAGCCTCCCAGACTGCAGGGATTACAGGCATGAGCCACTGTGGCCAGCCACATTTTCACTTTTTAGTGATGACTGTAAACCTAATCTTAGGTTAAAAGCAAACTAAAGTTGAGGGGAAATAATTAATCAATATTGATTACTTGATTTATAAGGTTCAATGCTTTATACCCTAAATAATTTTTATATGCTCAGGGCGAAGCAGGGAATTTAGGTAAATCGCTAGACAATTTAAGCAGAAATCCATTTTCGCTGAAATTGTCTGTGTGCATGTATTTTTAGTTGAAAAATGAAACTACCTTACAATGTTATTCTTTTAACCAGTGTATTTGTTTGAAAATATTTGCCATGTTGAAGAGTGTGTATAGGAAAGGGCTAGAAATAACCAGGCTCATGCATCCCTAGGCATCCATGCTCTTTCTTCCTCTTCAGAGATCATCAGAAAAGATGTGGAAATATACATGCAAGCACATGTGAGCCCCAAAGCAACCAAGCCTTATACCAGAAGAACTTAAATATTTAACCAAAAGTTGATGTGTTCATTCCAGTCATTCATTCCAGATGAAATTAAAACTAAGAAAAGCAAACTATTTCAGTTTGGTAGTTTACTATTTTAGAACAAATTTCTAAATGAATTTATTCCCATAACCTACAATAGCATTGACAGCAGAAAATACGTTTCTTCTTCATCTTTGTTTAAAGATTGTGTACCTAGGGAAGGCACACTGTATAGAGAAAAATCTTATCTGTATTCCTCACCTCTAAATTATATGTTAGCTGTTATTTGAAAAATGTAGTTAACTGTGGGTTTTATTAGTCTATTAAGAGATACGTGGAGAAACTAAATTATAACTTAAGCAGATGTCCAAGAATTTCTATACATGCTGCTTTACATCTTTGCAACAAATCTCTTAACTAGTAGCATTACTGCTATGGTGTAATTATCTGAGGGTGCCTCCAAGTGTATATTATTTCACTCCCCTCCTCACCCTCCTGCACCCCACTGCACCCCACCCCACCCCAATAGCTCTAAATAAATAAAACCCTGATCAAGTTAACAGCAAGTGTTATGTGAATTGGTAGTAGGTTTAAATTGTTGCTGAGTCATCTATATGTCTAGGACTTCTCACAATCTTTCATACATAGAATTGCACCAGGAAATAATGAATCATAAATTTTCTCTGAAGAAAATGTGGCAAAGGTGTAAAAGTGAAATTTGTGTTCAGTCAGGGTACACATGAGATACTGCCCTTCATGGAAAAGCGTAAGTCTCAGAGTCAAAAGAAATCCTAAGAAAGATTCTGCTTTAAGCCCTGAGATCTGGCCTTCAACCAGAGAAGGCATTATCAATTACCCCTACCAGATATAGTAACTAAACCCAAAGTGCGCTAGAAACGTGGACATAGTCATGTATTTAGTTAGTAACAAAAGCACCACTGGAATTTCAGCTTTCTCACGCAGCATATCTTGCCTCTCCCTGAGGAGACAGGGTTAGAGATGATCTTTTCCAGTGCATGCTGTGTAACCAGCCATTCTATCAGACATTGCCTGGCCTGGAAATACTGCTTTTAATTCAAGGCTAGTTCATTCTCTGACTGTACCTGACAAACAAAACTGTCCCAGAAAATTCAGGGAAAGGACAGAAAGACTGGGTACTTGAGGGAAAGGTGGTAGAGTCTTTTTTTAATTAGACTTTAAGTTCTGGGGTACATGTGCAGAACGTGCAGGTTTGTTACATAGGCATACACGTGCCATGGTGGTTTGCTGCATCCATCAAACTGTCATCCACATTAGGTATTTCTCCTAATGCTATCCTTTCCCTAGCCCACCCACGCCTCAACAGACCCCAGTGCATGATGTTCTCCTCCCTGTGTCCATGTGTTCTCATTGTTCAACACCCACTTATGAGTGAGAACATGTGATGTTTGATTTTTTGTTCTTGTGTCGGTTTGCTGAGAATGATGGTTTCCAGCTTCATCCATGTCCCTGCAAAGGACATGAACTCATCCTTCTTTATGGCTGCATAGTATTCTATGGTATATATGCACCACATTTTCTTTATCCAGTCTATTATTGATGGGCATTTGGGTTGGTTCCAAGTCTTTGCTATTGTGAATAGTACCACAATGAACATTTGTGTGCATGTGTCTCTATAGTAGAATGACTTATAATCCTTTGGGTATATCCAGATTGCTGGGTCAAATGCTATTTCTATTTCTAGTTCCTTGAGGAATCGCCACACTGTCTTCCACAATAGTTGAACTAATTTACACTCAAAAGTGGAGAGAGCCTTTACAGAACACCAGAAATCAGGAAGAAGGACATTAACAAAATAGTCCTATAAGAGGGTGAGTTAGGCCCATGCTAAGTCAAAAATCTAAATCACTATTTCTTAAAATGTGAAATTTCAAAAGAGAGGGCTAGGAATCAACATCTTCAGCAAGATTTCCAGATGTTTCTTACACACACTGACGTTTAAGAATTTCCAATCTACCTTAATGGTACGTTCCAAGAAAACCCTAGTTGACATTTCTAAATAAATTGAAGAGTCACAATAACAAGAAAGATGTAAATCTTTGTTATTAATGAAAGCATTATGAGAAAAGAAAAGTGGACCAATTTTATCTATTTTATCTCTATGACAAAAATTCAGTTGCAGCTAATATTTGTGCCTGCTGCCCAGGCACTGATGCTGTTCTAGAATTTTCTTTTTTAATTCCCACAACAACCCATTCAAAAATGAGAGCACTAGGTTGAATTACTTGTCCACAGCTAATAACGATGATGAGGCATGTTTCTCTTTTGGGCCCACTGGTATTCAGTTTTCCATTTTTCACGCTGAGTACTGCAAGGAAACATCAGATTATTTTGATTCTAGAAAGTGAGATAATTGAAAATTTTAATGTATTTCTCCAAAACTGATCAGACTGCACAGTCTGTCACTTTTTTGGTACTGTATAATAAAGGAATTTGAAGAAACAAATGACATTATTCCTGATGATGGTAGCCCACTCCAACAATGGTATATATATTTATGTGGGTAAGTTTGAAATACATAAAACAGCATAGAAAGGCAAGTGCACTGTTGAGGAATATCATGACAAGTAGGCTCACGAACACTAAAAAGAGACCAGAAACCACAAGTCTTACACTTTCCTTGTCTAAATGCTTACATAATTTCACTGACAAAAGAAAAGCAGGCGCTGTGATTTAAAACCACAGTTTTATGTTATTTTTTAAACTCAGAATAATCAATTGACTTTTAAAATTAAATAAATGTAGAGCACATAGTAAGTTTCCCCACAGGAAAGATAGATGCTAACAAAAATAAAATGAATGATTACCTGTTACCACCTTACTAATGATGAATCAGCATATTTGCTTCAAATGAAAATCTATAATTATGTATGCACTCAATTGGTAGACCCAGCCAAAAATGTTCTCATGAGGCATCCTGTGATATGTGTAATTAATTACTCCAAAAATTAAGCTTTCTCTGAGGGTAACACATTGTCATCTCTTTGGTTTAATGGGCTATTTAAATGTGCCTTATCTGCACATTTGCTTAATAGAAAGGAATTATTTTAAACTACCAATCCATATGTTGAGTAGAAAGGAAGTTGGCCCACATATTCCAATAAATATATCAACAAAATAACAGTTTCATCATGGGACCATGGATACAGTGCAGGGAGAAAACAAACCAGAAAAGCAGTCTTTGAGAAAATAAATATTTTGCCCAACCACAGTAGTGAGTTTTTATTTCTTGTATGAATTTAAACTGTCAACTCTAAAAAGCCTCATTAGAATTTGCTACTCAGAAAGACCTGAAAAAACCTTACCAAGTTCTAAGCATACCATTCATTGAAAATACTTCTCTGTTAAGTGGGTTGGTTTGTGCACTTCATAACTTTTGGGTGACATGAATTTGAAGCATAGCAAAAGAAATGTGTAAAAGATAGCCTTTTCTGGTCATTACTGTGTCTACTCAAGTTTCTGTTTTCTAGCTACACTCTAGCATTGTCATTTTTTTCCTCCTGAGAAGTAATTTTAAGATCTATCTGTCTCAATTTAAATGATCTGTTAATCAGCCAAAGTTTTAGTTTCATAATGTCTTTCTATTGCCTGACAAAGATATACACACTAAAGTGCCTTTAGCAGACCTGAGATTGTCAAGAATCTTGGTACCTTGCTTATTGCAAGATGACATGTTTCTTAAGACATATATAATTTCATATTCAGATTGAATCTGAATTTATAAAGAAAAGGGTTATATTGAGGCAGTTTCAAGCAGCATTTAAGAAAATGAAGCATCTTCAAATTTTAATGTTTCT